CCTGGGTAAACCCCACATCTGTCCCTGTGCGCCTGCAGGTTGAGTCACAGCAGAGCCTGTGCTCGTTCCAGCCCTTTGGGCTGGATCTTCCTCTCCTGCAGCCTGGTGTTCTCCTCAGCCCACTGTTGCTCTTGCTCGGTGAATGAAGCTGTTCCCCAGAGGCCAGCACAGCTTTGCTCAGCACAGGGGTTTTCCAGGCAGTATCAGATGCTGGTGGCTGCAGCCGGAGATGTGCTGCCTCAGCCTCACTGCGCTCTTGCCTCTCACCCCAAATGATGCAATATCGTGTCGAGCCCTTCCAGCCTGGAAGTATGGCAAATGAGTGAAATATGCAGGGGAAAACCAGCTGCTTTTCCCCTTGCCTTGTGTTGTGCATGTGCTATCTTTTTAGGCAAACATGAGTTATTTAGTAAAGGTCTTCGCTGCTCATCTTATCATAGAGGGTGATGGCGTCACTGATGAGGACATCCACAGCAGGGACTCGGTGTGCAGGTTTCCTTAACAGCAGAACCCATCACCCGGCTCTGACTTGCAGATGTTGGCAGATAAAAATCAACCACCCCACATGTGTACAGGACCCAGGACAAGCAGGATTCCACCCATCAGCTGCACTGGGATGAGGGGGAGTGGGGAATGGGATCAAACTAGCGAATTCCATGTGCTTCCATGACTCATGAAAAAACCCCTCCGACTGTCTCTGTCAACAGCACGGCTGTTTGGGTAATTCTTAAGGAATCTGGAATTCATTCTTGGAGCTCTCCCACGAGAAAAAGTAAACATACCGTATATAAAACCTCTTTAGTAAAACAAATATACAGCACTTTATATACAAAAATAAAATGTACAAGAAAATAGACCATTACAGCTTAGTGATTCGATTCCTAGGTATAACACATACACACTGGAACCCCTCCCAGCCACGCTCCCCTGCTCGTGCTGGCGCAGGGGCTGCAGGTGCTAGAAGGGATCCCAGGAAGACATGGAATAAATAAAGAGCTCTGCCCCTATCAGTGCAAAAGTTGTCATGCAGCAGCTCTTCAACTACTATGTGGAAGTACATCTGGCATGTCTACGAGCAGGTAACATCCTATGAGTGGACCTGGGTAAGTGTATTATGTGGAAGCAAAGCCTAAACTGGGTTTTCACATCTTATTTACGCAGCTGAAAAATGAACTATGTGATGGAGTAAATCAAAGAAGAGAGCCAATTAGTGCAATTCTCCTGACTAAGTGTATGACAGTCGTTAAGCCCAACGTCACCAGTGTTGCACAGGTAAGCAGCAACCAAAACTAAGGGGTCAGAGTCTCATTTGCAGCGTGTCTCCTCAGCACTCCGTGGGTAAAGTGTCCATCGCACCTCGCACAGGGAGGCAGTGTCTTCCTCCCCAGACCTCCAGCACACTCAGTGGTACCCCACCAGGTCACATCCATCAGCAGAAGCTTCACCTCCAAAGCAATGACAAGGTGCGTACTGCTGCTGAGCATCTTCGGAGCCAGGAGTCCTGCTAGTGATGGGATTCCTTTCCCCTTTCTAATCGATAATGGAGTTTCCCTTGCTAAACTTTTCAGGCCTAAAAGTTAAAACGGAATAGAAAAGCTACTTTCTTCAGTCAGTAACAAACAATTTCTTCCATTCTCTTCAGGCTTGTCCAAGTTTCTACCCAAGAGCAGTTTGTGGTCTGAGGAAGCCAGAGCTTTACAAGCCACAGGGAATGACTTGCATGGGAGCTCTCACTGTCTCCAGCCAGGGAGACAACTCGAAGCTGTTTTTCGGGTCAAAGAACCTGAACTCCAGCTCTCCTAGAGGAAACCAAACACAGGTGAGTACTGACTCGCATGCAGCAAGAGCAAAACAGTGTGTGTATGTGTATACATAAATGTATCTCAAATGGAATGGTTGCTCTAATGGGAGTAAATACCCTAGGCTGATGTTTTGCTGCAATACTCCAAACACTCTCTACTGAACTGTCCCATTTCAGCTAAGTGGAAATACTTCAGTTACATTGCAAGGAGTTCCTGAAAGCTGACACAACCTAAGACAAAGCTGTAGAATACTCCTACCTACTAGAGGTAGTTTCTCTTTTTACCAACAAATTCCTTACAGCCTTCCAACAGGCTCCTTGGAAATCTCACAACACAGGGATGTGTGGACTCCTCCATCTGCATTGCTCCCTCCCAGGTAGTGCCCTGCATGAAACCCGTGCTCTGCATCATCCCATGGCCTTGCCCTTGAGTGGTAACTGAGGAGTCTGTACCTGAAGTTGTGTCGATCTCCCCATCCTGCTCCTTGTAGCTGTAAGTGTTGCACAAGGTCTGTGTGCCCAGCTCGTTGGTGAGGAAGCCTTTCCCCCCGACGCTGGTGGTGTGCCAGTCTTGGGCTGGTTCGAGCAGCTGTAAGAGAGGAAGGAGATGGTAAAACCCACTTCTTCCCATGGGTGCAGTGTTCTGTTTCTTTCCCTTAAGTAGGAGACAGGTCAGCAAAAGAGATCCCATTGTATCTCCTTGTGCTAAGCTATATGAAATTTGGTTTACTCCCAGCCTAAAAAAAAGCTAATGCAAACCAGTGATGAACCCCCCATGTTATCAGTGGGATGAACGTGACACATCTGGAAACACAGATTAAGCTCCATGTGTGTCAGAGGTGGAGGGATGAGCAAGATAAAGTCTTGAGGACTTCTGCAGACTCTAATACAGCAACCTCTACTTCGAGCAGAGCTTCCTCTGACTTTCACATCAGAGTAAATAGCTCCATGGATGTGTCCTCTCCATGTCTGCAAAGCAGCCTTCTCTTTGTCTTTACTTCTTCAGCCCCCCCCCCATTAAACAAGGGTCCTGGATTACATGTCCAGCTCTCTTAGGACTGATCAGACAGCTCCTTCCCTTCCTCTCTTGGTGCAAACAACAATTTTGGCCAATTTTATACAGACCAGAGAGGCAGGTTTTACCTTAAAAATATTCGAATTCATTTCCTCTTCATCTTCGTCTGTGACTGTTTTGTAAGTACACAAAAAAAGAGAAGAAAACAGATGTCAACTTTTCGCATGTTATCCCTTGCACTTCTGCTTCTTCACCACACAACCCACTTCATATTCTCTTGTCACACATTACCACAACCTTTTACTTCCCCCCCAGGGATAACATTGAGGAGAGGCTCTCCTGGGTTTGAGGTGCAGTATCTCATCAGCACCTCCATCCCCACAGCCCTTCATCTCAAATGCTCTTCAACAACCTGAGACTTGCCAAAGCAGAACCTGCTTGGTAGACAGGAGGGAAGATGATTTGCACCCTGAGTGAAGAACCACCCATATTTATTATGGTTTTCCCTATTGGGAAGCATGGTTACCTCTACTGTTACTACTGTACCCAACTCTTGTTCCTCCTGATGCCCACTCCTTCATCCCGCTGCCTTGCTTCCAAATCCGTCTTCACTAGACCAGTGAAAGACAGGGGTAAGGATAAAAGAAGCACCTACCTTCTGAGGATGAAGCCAGGGGAGACACCTGGAGCTGGTAGATGTCATTGGTGCTGTCAGCCATGGTGACCTCCATCTGTGACCTCCAGTCAGTCAGGGAGCTGCTCGCCTCACATGGGGAGAGGTCTGCGGGATGCACCAGGAGGAGTTGGCACTCAGCAGAGACACGACCACCTCTGTTTCCTCCCTGCCCATCTGATGGCCCAGCCCCAAGAGTCATCTTTGTCTTTTGGTGCAGAGATTATGGGTTACACACGAACGGCACTTCCCACTGTGCTCAGAGAGCTAAAAACAGAGTCTCACCTAAGGTGATGGACGTGCTCTCAACCTCCACTTCCTGCCCCATGTAGTCATGGACAGTGTAGCCGCTGTGGTCATCTGCCGGAGCAGTGTTGGTTAGCCTTTCTGCCGACTCCTCCGTCCTCGTATCTTCATGGGACTACAGAAATAAGGGCAGAGCATGAAAAACTTGCCTAAGAACGTGCAAGTGCCTACATGAACAAAAAAAAGCATGAAAACCACCAAAACCTCTAGCTTCTTCAGCAGCCTCCACAGACACATACCTTTCTCTTGCTCCTGTTTCTGGCTTCTCTTGAAGACTTTGACTTCCTTTCTGTTAAGTAAAAACAAGATGAATGTGAGAAAGGGCTGGTATTTTGGGTGAGGGCTGAGCTCTTGCACCTTTGAGCCCTGCTTAGCAAGCTCTGCCGCTGCTGTCAGCAGCGAGTCCTGATCCCCCCTGGTGATGCCTTTAGGCTTGTTCAAAGAATCTGGGATAAAATGTCTGTACAAACTGGACACGAGGAAAACTTCACAGTGAGAACAATCAGCCACTGGAATAATCTCCTCGGGGAAGTGGTGGAATCCCCAACACCGGGCCCTGTTAAGATTCAGCTGGACAGGGTGCCGGGATATCTTGTCTAGGCCAGGCTTTGCCAAGAAAGGTGGGACCAGATGATCCTTGAGGTCCCTTCCAACCTGGTGTTCTAGGATTCTATGACCTGTTACCATTGGCAATAACAGTGCCAAACACCAGTGGTACCAACAGCAGCTGGATTGCTGAGGACTTACCTTTCTTCTGATCCTTTGTCAAGGGTGGCAGCATCCTGTAGACCCTGACGGCGCTGGAGCCTTTGTTGATGCTTTTATCCTTCACTTCTTCGATGTCGGGCAGTGAATTCATAGCGCAGCGGAAATTTGCCTTCCAGGTTTTCGGATCAGGGTCTTTTTCACCTACTTTGTATCTTCCTATAAATAAGAGATGGGGGGAGCGTTTGGACTTCTCAGTGCTAGTTCTTCCCACCGCAAAACCAGATTACTTATCTATTTTCTGACACACACAATAGTAATTATAACTACCTGAGGTGCAACTCAAGACAAAAAGATGTCTTGAGATATGGGTGTGACTGAGGGACATGTAAAGCCAGCACACACCTGTATGAATGGCCCAGCTCCGGAAGAGGCAGGCGTCCTTCTCCATGTCCCAGCCATGCTTAGCTGCATGTTTCCATGGGATTTGAAACATCATCTTGTCCTGAAGGGAAACCCATAGAGATTTGAATTAAAAAGTGTCAAGTGCTAGTTTGGAGCAATGGATTTAACCCAAGAATTCCCAGTAGAAGCTCAGAAATTTTATAAACCCTCTGCTCTGTATCTTAATTAAATATCCATCCTTCCATCTATGCTGTTCAAGGAATTTAAGGCTTTTAATGGCTTCTAAAACTGTGGAAAACCCTGTGTGTGGTACAGTAGAAGTAAGCAATACTGTTAAATTTATCACGTAATCATTTAAATACATCCAAAATTCACTTATATTGCACCTAATCTATTAGTATGTCATGAGCTACAGTATATTTTCTAGGTATACTTTGGTAGAAAATCCCTTTTTAAAGTTGCCCATAATATCCTGCAGGAATCCTAAGGAAAACACGTCCCAGCTTAGAGATCACCTTGGGGTGGATATGGAGACTTCAGAGAATGAGACCTGGCTCCATAAGCCCTGTGCTACAGGTACAGGGATGTAGCTTTGGACCAAAATAAACAGCATTTCCTTCAGGCCAAATCTTAAGCCTGGGAGTCAAAGAGAAGGTCCTGAGCTGGGGCAGGAGGTGTTACAAGAGATCTTGGAGTTTTCTTGGTTCTGCACCATATTCAGCCTGCTTTATTGTCATTTATCCTTTCCCTCCTAGGAGTTTTCCCAGGAAAAATGGAGCTACCACCCCGGGTACCAACCAGAGCTATGTTTTCTGCAAACAAAGGTAGTTGTTTTTCAAACATAATGCAAATTTTCCCCATGTTTTTCTCTCCTTTATGATCTTGACTCCTGTTCAGCGTCATCTGAGAACAAGGATGGCTAATGTCACAGAAGTAATACTGATAATAGCAATAAACCATCCTCACCTTGTTAATCCATATCAGTCCGGGTATCTTATTGGAATTAATCTGCATTTCCAACCAGGGCCTCATGCGCATTCTTGACACCGGCATCTTGCCTGAGGAAGGAGTAACAGGTCAGCAAAGTCCCCCTGCCGTTTGGGACATTCCGCAGTGTCACACACACCCCGTACCGGCTGTACCGCCATGGATGGAACCAAAGCTGCTTCTCGAGTCTCAGCTCCTCCTCGGCACCCGGTACCCAGCACCCCCTCTGCCGGGGAGATGCCCCCGCCGTCGAGAGCCAGAAAAACGCCCGATGTCCCCAAGCCGGGAATGGGATTGGTTGGAGCGGTGGGTGCTGCAAGAGGGGAGCCCGGGGCGGGGAGAGCCCCGGCCCTGGGAGGGAGCCCCCCGGCAGCGGGTGCGCGGACAGGGACGGGACCTCCCTCCGCGTCCCCCGACAGGCACCAACTGCACGGTCGTAGTTTAAAAAGCTTGTTATTAGTTAAGCTGCGCCCCGGGGGAGGCGGGGGGGACCCTGCTGAAGGGGGGATTCCGCGCTGGTAACGGCGACAGCCCCCGGAGGACTGCGCCCTGCGCTCTAGCGGCGCAGCCGGGGCGGGCGGCAGGGCCCTCCCTCCCTCTAGAGAAATAGTTTCCTGTTCGCGGTGTTTGTTCAAGACACCCGGAGCAAAACTTCCCAGGGAGCACAAAACACCGCGCTTCCAGCTTGCCCGGCGGGTCGCGGGCCTGCAGAGCGCCGGCCCCGGCGGGGATGGAGGCTGCCGGAGCTGCCCCGCGGGGAGCACGGCTCGGGCCGCGGCGCTGGCACCCGCTCAACAGCGGAGCGGAGCCTCCGGCTGAGCCCGCAAAGCCGCAGCAGCGCCCGGACATGCCCGACCCCGCAGGCGGGGGGGGGACACATCCCGCCCCGTCCAACCCGCCGCGTCCCGTGGGGCTGCGTAAGGAGTCGCGGCTCCCCGGAGGGATGCCCAGCGGCCCGAAACAGCTTCCGCATGGCAGAGCCCGGCGGGGACCCGCCGAGCCGTGCCCCCGGGGCCGCTCCCACGGACTTCGCCTTGAGCCCCGGTGCCGTGCAAAGTCGCGGGGGGGGGGGGGGGGGGGGGTGCGAGCGACGGGACGGGGAGCACCGCGACCCACCTCGTTGTGCCGAGCCGTGCAAGCCTGTGCAAGAGATGAGGCGAGCTGAGCCGTGCCGTGCTGCGCCGAGCCGAGCCGAGCCGATCCCTCCTCGCCTGCCGCCCGACCCGCCTCTGCCGCTTGCGGGGCGCGCCCTCGGGTATAACGCGGCGGCGGCGGCCGGGATTCCCCGCCGCCCCGGGCTCTGCCGAGTCCCGGCCAATCAGCGGCGCCCCACGGGGCGGCTGCGCCTCCCATTGGCTCCCGCTGCCCGGCATCACTTCGGGGAAATCACGCCGTTGTAGCACCAGCGGCGCGGGGGGAGCCCGCCCCCCCCAACAGCCCCGGCCCGACGGGGGTCGAGCTCCCCATGGGATCCAATCCCGGCGCACAACGAGGGACACAGCCCCCGTCCCGTGGAGGGGTCCAGGCCCCGTCCCCACAGGGGGATCCGGCCCCGGTCACCATCGGGGGACCCAGACCCATCCTACGGAGGGATCGGGCCCCTGTCCCCACCAAGAGACCCAGACCCCATCCAGTGGAGTGATCCAGCCCCTGTCCAAGGGATGGGTACAGTCCTTATCCCTACTGAAGGATGCAACCCCCGTGTTCCCGATATATACAACCCCCATCCCTGGAATCCAGCCCCGGTCCCCCTGACATGCCCATCCCCAATGAGGGATCCAGCTGCAGTTTCCCAAGGGATCCAACCCCCATCTCCCCAACAGATCGAGCCCCAGCCCATCCTCCCCGTGTGCGGCTGCCCTTCATGTGCATCCCCTGCAGCTGGAGATGGCACAGAAATCCCAATGCTTAGACACGCAGACTTGCCACCAGCCCGCAGCAACCTTCATAGATTAGGAAAGGAAATGGATGAAATGCCAGGTCTGGATGAGGGCACTGATGGGTGGGAACTGGTCCAGTCGCGTCCCGATCAACTTGCTGTGGAGCGCTGAGGAACTGGCCCCGGTGCTGGCTCTGAGCAGATCAGTTCCTTGCTCGCTCACTGCCGCAGGACTCTGGGTTGGCACTGGCTCCATGAGACACGCTTTTGCTATTGACAACAGGAGTAATGAAACAGGAGGGCAGAAACCACGTACAGGTTTTGTTAGTCAGTGTTAGCGAGCTGCAGAAGGGATGTGGTAGGGCCTGGAGTAATGGGAACAGTCATGGCTGTAGATAGGTAGGGCAATAGCAAAGGAAAATATGTGAAGATTGTGAGGGATGCTCCAGACTGTCTCCTCCGCATTCATGCTTTCCTGGCATGTAACAGACAGCACGAAATGAGCCATTCAGTGTCAGCGTTAGCCGGCCCAGTGATGCAGGGAGAGGGACAGGAATGCGCTGCTGCGTTCTAATGTTGCACGCTCATTGAATGCGCAGCTCAATGAAACAGGTCCGTGGAGTCACCAGGGTCATTCTGGCTCACATCAAGGTGCACCTAAGCCAGGGGACCGGTGTATGACACGATTCCCTGCCTGGCACCAGCAGACCGCAGTTCCGGTGGGAAGCTGTATTATGAACCCTGCCTGAAGCTGCTCTGTCATTGGTTTGAAAGCCTCCACAGTTGGACAGGAGGGACTTCTGACAAGGGCCTGTAGGGACAGGCCAAGGGGAATGGCTTTAACCTGCCCGAGGGGAGACTGAGATGAGCTCTTAGGCAGAAGCTCTTCCCTGGGAGGGTGCTGAGGCGCTGGCACATGGTGCCCAGAGAAGCTGTGGCTGCCCCATCCCTGGCAGTGCTCAAGGCCAGGTTGGACACAGGGGCTTGGAGCAAGCTGCTCCAGTGGAAAAGCCCAGACCTGGGTTTAAGTGCGGAAGAACGCCCTGTAGGTGTGTCCTGCTTCCCTAAACGGATTTGGTTTTGTCTCCTTGACTTTTTAACCTTGATAGGACCCTTGGCTGGGTCTTTGTGCTGGGTGAGGCACCAGTGAGCTTTCCTCATAGGTGAAGATACAACATATTACGTAAATTAAATGATCAAAGCCGGGCAGTGGTGCATAGACAAGGTGTGTGGCACTGGGACATTTATAGTTTATGGTCTGTGAGAGGGCACAGGTTCACTCCTTAGCACAAGACGTCTGGAGATCTACAGGTAATAGAAAGTGCCCTGAAAAAGAGAGGACAGAAGGTATCTGAGGTTCCAGTGCAGGTATCACCTACAAAAATAGCCACAGCACCATACAACCTAACAATATACACAACATTATACAACCTAAATACTGATGCTGTCCTCCCTTTCAACCTCCCATGGTTTGCCTTCATCCTTCAGCCAGCTCTAAGAACACCAAATCCTGAGCTCCCTGTTCTTCCAGGTTAATGTGTGCACACAGCCTGTGTATCTCACATACCTGAATGGATGTTGAAGAGTGACTTGTCTCATACAAGACTTCGGTGCTGTTATGATCCTTACTGGCTCTTTTCAGTCTGTCCCACCAGGAGCTGGCACCGGGCACCACACAGAACAGGAATAGGAATGCACGAAGGAAGGTTAACGGTCCCAGCCTTAAATCTCCCCTTTCCCTGCTTTAAGCCCAAACAGATCCTACTCAGTGGAACTGAACTGACCTTTCTACCCGTGCTCTCTCCCGTATCTGCATGACAAGCCTCCATGGAGCATGACCTGCCCAAGCTGGGATGCCTTACGTTGGTTTGCTGCGCTGTTATCTCTCAGCTGAAACAAGGAAATAACAACTTGTCTCTCCTGATGTTACTGTGTGTCAGGATGTCCTTGCACTGCATCTCAAAGCTTTCTCCTCACAAAACCAGCTCCTTCTCCCATGTGCACCCCTACACTAACAGCCCTCTCAGCAGCTTGCTTAACGTAGCAAGAACACACACTTGGACTTACACGCACGTGTATAGAAGTGTGACCAAGGGGTAACACCTGCACCACCAGGAGTCGATAAATGATTGGTCATAAAACCCTCCTGCTCCACCCCATTTATCACTCAGCAAGAATTTCTGTACAACACAGAGTCATTTAGGTTGAAAAAGACCTTTATGCCCAAAGAGTCCAGCCGTTAACCTGGCACTGCCATACCTCTGATTCACTGCAGAGCTGCAGCCCCACTCCAGCTCTACTTCACATCATTCTTATCTCAGACACCCACTTGGCCCTGTGGCTCTCAACAACCTCTGGCATTCCCCCTTTTTCATATTTGCCAGCGCTCTTGTTTCAATGGTAAACTGAGACACAGAGAACCAGATTGCTGGACTGTTCCATCACATTTACCCAATCCAGGGAGATCCCATGTCTGGGATTGTTTTCCCAGTGCAGAGGAAATATTTGATGATATTTTTATCTAAGACCAAATCAAATTCCTGACTGATGCAACTCCAGCAAGTGGTATTTGTTATTCTATAATGGGTACCTCTCTGTCTCAATCAGCAGTGCCCTGAAATAAGCTGCTCCCAAGATGACTGTATTTCAGGTAATGCTAAAAACCACAAACTATGTGGCATCAACCCCAGAGCTCCTGGTGTAGCCGAAAAGGAGAGTGATGAATTGGGTGTATGGGCTCTAAGGTCGTTCTTTGTTCCCTGCTTTGCTTGGTTAAGCAGCTCAGGATGACTTCACTCCTGGCCTACATGCACAGTGGTTAATGTTGAACCCCGTGTGCTGTGGAATGGCCACGTCCCAGCCAGCAGCACTGTGCACCGGCCCCCCAAACCTGCCATCTTCAGAGCACAGCCTGGCTCCCTCTTCCCTAGGGATAAGTGGCACAGATTTCTCACCCATGGGCACCCCGCCTGGTGCGGGGCTGCCCGGAGCACACTGGTTTGCCAGCAGTGCAAAAGAAGCATCTTTCCTACCTTATCTCCGCTCTTCCCTCCTTCTGAGGTTACCTTCAGTGGGGATGAGACCCCCCCATGCTTTCCCCCAACCAAACCCAGCAGGCTCTGAACACCCAGAAACATGTTTTAGATGCTGGGGGGTGAAATGAGGGCAGGAAATGAGCACGCTCCAGCACGCACACAGCTGCCGGAGTCGGGGCACACTCCAGAGCCACGTTCACCTCCAGGTAAGCGGAGCACTGGTGTAGAAGTCCATCAGCTTTCCGATAACTGCCCATCCCAGGCTCCCTTCCTAGCTCAGCAAGAGGCAGGGTGCCCTTTCCTCAGGGACGGTGATGCTGCAGGAGCCCTCATGTGTGCAGCAGGACAGGGCTACCCCCAGGTTCAGTGCAGGTACCATGCAGCAGCCAGTGCACTGGCCCTGTGCTCTCCCAGTGCTATACATGAGGTATGGATGGGGCAGATGTCCCTCGGGTGTTAAATCCTTAAGGTGCCCTGGGGAGAAAGACCTTGAGTATTTCACCTTGTGTTGATGGCAGTCTCCCTTCCCAGGACTCTGAATCCAACCAAGGGAGAAGCTCTTTAGCAGGGAATCCCTGCTCTGGCAATTGGGAGAATGGGAGAGGTGGGGATGGGAAGATGGAGACACGGAGAGATGGGGACAGGGATTGCCACAGGAAGCTGCTCTGGGGACTGACAGCGAGCCCCAGGAGGGAACAGAGCCCAAGCTCTGCATGCCCAGGTGGTATTTGGGTGCGGGGAGTGAAGAAACACAGGATGCAGGAGGGGCTCGTGGAGGGGAAGAGTGGGAGCATGGCAAGAGAGAGCCTCTTATCTGCTTCCTCATGGCCCTGGCTGCTTCCTCCCCTCGCTGCTTGGCAGCATGCATCCTCATGCCCACCAGCCCTCAACTGTCCTCTCAACCCCCCTCTGCAGGGGCTGTTCCTCCTTTCTACCTGTTTTAACAGAAACCTGCTCTGATGCAAATTCTCTCTCATTTCCCCCACTTGCCTTCCTCCCTTTTCCCTGTCAAACTCGGAAACAATTCCTTCTGGAGCACACAGAATGGGTGTGGAGCCTTATAGAATCATGGTTTGGGGTGGAAAGGACCTTTAGATCATGCAGTTCCAACTCCCTGCCATGGGTACTCCTTAACACTAGACCATGCTGCCCAAAGCTCTGTCCAAGCCGGCCCCGAACACCGCCAGGGATGCCAGAGCCTTCACCATCACCTGAAGAATGAATGCCCCTTGTTCCCTGCTAAGGGACAGGCACGGTACCATGCCCCAGGTCAGCTCCGGGCAGGCAGCACGAGAGGGGTTAATGCAGAGCAGACGTTGAAGGAGCAGGGGTGAAGTTGTCAGCCGTAAAACCTGCATTGGCAAACAACACAAACCGGCTGCTCCTGGGTGAGTGGCCCCGAGAGCACGGGGCTCGCAGCAGGGCGTGCTGCAAGCTCTTTCCATTTCTTATAAATGCCTCTGTTAGAAAAAGGAAGCTTGGATGAAGCACATGCAGGGGAATAAATAATGTCAGCAATGTTGAAAGCCTGCCCAGATGGCATGATGTAATAGCAGTGAGCGCTCTGATCCACAGGCTACAATAAATATATCCTGGGATGGGCCACTTACAGCTTCCTGGAATTGGAAGGACCCATCTTGGGACCCCAGATCAACACAGCTGTCCCCACTGAGGGCACGGTGTGGGTTCAGACTGAACCCAAGTGAGATTTTGTGCTTGGTTTGGCAGGAGAGAAAGGAAATCCTAAGAACTCGACTGCTGTCCCCAGAATTCCCCAGCCCCTCACTGCTCTCTTGTCCTTGCAGGAGGACATAGAGCTTTGCTGAAGTGTTTGCCAAGGAAAACCCTGGGAGCTGCAGGCACCTGGCAGCTGTGGGGAGTTTGCCTGATGAGGGTGCAGCCCTGCAGCAGCCTGAGCCTCCTGGTAAAGGTCAGAGAGAGTCATTCCTAGGAGCTGGTGGGGGGCATGGGAGTCAGTGGTGATATCATAGTCCTCCTCGCCTCCCCCCCTCTCAGTGGGGCCATGCTGACCCATGGTGTCCCTGCATCTGACCCATGTGAAGTTGAATGAGGAGTCCATTCATTCCTCAGCACTGAAGTCCCACCACTGCAGCTGGGGCTCACATCAGTACAGGAAAGGTGAGTTGTGTATTAAAAGGTATATATATATTTATATGCCTTTAGAGCACCCCTCTGAAGGTCTCCATGGATGCGCTTGCCCAACCAGCCCCCTGAAGAGCAGGCATTAAACCGAAGGGAGCCGCAGCCTGCAGGAAGGCTGGTTGTGCCTGGTGTCTGGCTCCCTGCTGGGTGGGATTCTGGACTGATAGGAAAAGGTGCTGCAATTCCCAGGGGCAGAACAGGGGCTGCTCATTGGAGTGTGGTGCTGAGCCTCCAGCAAGCTCCAGCTTGCCCAGGCTGGAGGTCACTGAGGCTTCTGCATGTTTCTGCCTGCACCCTGCTCTTGCCTACCAGGCAAAGCTGGCAGCTCCAGCACACCAGAGTACTTGGAGCATGGAGGCAGGGAGACCTTGGGGGAATACTATGGCCTTCCAGGAAAAGGGGACCTGGGAGTGTTTCACCTCTGCTTCACCTCAGGAAGAGCATCAATAGCCCTGCTTTGTTTGGAATGCTCCATCCCATCCTCGTTCAACGGGGCTGCCAAAAAGGAAGCTCTTACAGACGCTGCAAAGCGTCGTTGGGCTTGTCACGGTAGCACCATTAGGGGCAGAGGGATGGGATAGCAAAGGTGGGATGTGCTGGGAAGGCAGTTTGGTGTCCCACCAACCAACCAAGAAAGGGATGGGAGCTCCGGCTGTGCTGTTCCAGGCTCTGGGGGGGGACGGGACCAGGAGGGTCCCAAGTGCCTCATATGATGGCAACAGCAATAGTGCCAATGATGTGCTGCAAGCAACAGATGCCAAACCAGCCCGGCCTTATGCCCTAGGCTTTATTGTTATTCATTGACCATTAACCTTGATGTAGCTGCAGCCACCTCTGTGCAAACACAGCCCTAAGCAGCCTGGCTTCATAACAATAATAACTTACATCAGCAAGAGCCAAGCCTGGGGCCTGGAAAATCTTTTTCCCTTTTTCTTCACCTTTCTTTTTATTTCTTTCCCCTTTTTTTGCCCATTTTTCCCAGGTTTTTTCTTCCCATACCCTTTTTTTCTTTTTTTCCTCACGTTTTTATTTATTCCTTTATTTTTCCCTCTTTTTTTTTTTGTTTTCCTGCTTTTCCCCCATTTTTCCCTCCCTCCCTTCCCCCGCCCCGCTCCGGCTCCCTTCACACCTCACGTCCCGCCGCCTGGTTTCGGTTTCCCGCAGAAGCTGCGGCGCGGGCGGTTTGAGGCGCTTCCGGGAAGCCGCAGTGCCGGCCGCGGCCGCGAGGGGGCGCTCCCCATCCCCTCCGGGACACGTGGGGAGCCAAAACCACCCCAAAACCACCCGAACCCGGCGGGGGGGGGGGGGGGGCAGCGGCACAGGGTGCCCAGAGAAGCTGTGGCTGCCCCATCCCTGGCAGTGCTCAAGGCCAGGTTGGACACAGGGGCTTGGAGCAAGCTGCTCTAGTGGAAGGGGTCCCTTCCCTTCCAGGAGCTTTCAGGTCCCTTCCCAACCAGGCTGTGAACCCCGGTCTTTGCTTCACAACGTGAAATCACCGTTTGAATCACCGTGAAGCCATCAGCCGGTGCTGGAGGGGGGGTCCCAGGACGACAGACCAGAGTGGGTTGAGGGACTCATAGCTGAGGGGGCATCAGGGGCACAGTGACTGCCAGGCAGCATTAACATTGACAAGTTCCTTTATTTTTGGTGGCACTGAACTGGTCCTGCTTTGATTTATGGAGGTGATGGACAGGGGTTTGCTTTCTCCACCCACAGGCAGGTTTAGCACAACCCTGTCTGTTCCTCGCCCATTTCTCATTGCCATCTCTGTGGTGTTCAACATAACCTTGTCCCACTGGCACTGGTCAGACCTTGCCTATTCTCCACCTGTGGGCCCTTCTGAAGTGCAGGCACTGAACCCATGAAAACTAAGCTGGGATCTGTACAGTAAGTGTTCCTGGGCCCGTATTTAGCTGTCACGCTGTGATTGCACCCAGCGGTTATACTCATTACGCTAATGGCTACTCAGTGACTCCTTCCTGCTCCAATCACACCGGAGGCAAAAGGCTCGCCCAGTTTGGAGTTCAAAGCCTGTCTGAAGGAAAAGGCTGACTTCCGAGAAGCAGCCAGAGAGAGGGTTTCGGGGTTTACATCTTGTATCTCCGGTCTCTTATTGCCACCTGCTGTCAGCCTTCCTCCCGTTCCGCTATGGGAGGATGCTCTGGCTGGTGCAGGCAGAGCCAGAAGTCTTACGGAACAATGTCTGCACCAATAACTTTGGTTATTGTGGTCTGCACAAATAATTTTGCTGATTAACCCTTTTTTCACCAGCATCTGCCCATTCCACCCCTCCCTCCCTTTGCACCTCATCTTATGGAGCTGTACTGTGAAAAACTGTATTTTTCCTTCATAAAAGTTAGATGATAACTCTTGAAAACACTGGGGAAATCAGTACTGATGTGGCAAGAAGGTGTTTTACTCCTGTGTATGTGTTCTGGTAGCACGGGATTCTCACCCATGCTTCAGTGAGGGTCTCTGGGATGCACCTGAGAATGGACTAGGAATGGTCCTTACCAGGACATGTCATGCCCAGGCATTCTGAACCAAGGCAGTCAGGTGCCTGGGAGCACTGTGATACTTGGGTTCTCTCCCCTTCTATTTTAACTGTTGAAAAGGAGGGAGAGAAACCAGTAAGCTTTTCTGTGACCAGCCCCTTAGGTCTCCATGGCCCCATGTTCCAGCAGGGGCTCCCCAACAGCTCTGTTAATGTCCCAGCTCAGCTCCATCACAGGGATGTGCACCTGGTGGTTTGTGCATCATTGGAATGAGCTTCCAGCAATACACTTCTCACCTCAAGGATCTAATTCCTTTGACCATCAGAGATTTTACAATAACTAGATTTGCTCAAGTGTGGGAATAGCTTGGAAGAAATTCATGGGACGAAAAGGCAGAGACACTTACTCACTTTATTAAAATTAGTAAAAATACAGAATAAATATTTTCTCAAAAATATATATCTATAAAATTTACTATAATTTAAATGACACCATAGAAATAAATTCATATTTATCTAAACACTCCTATAGTTATTGTTAGCTCTAGAAGACCTTTAGAAGATCTTTAGCTGCTGGGTTTCCACTGGTCCACCAGAACTGCGGGTAGAGTGGGACCAGTGCTTCTCAGTTCTTGGGGAAGATTTTGGGCAGAGTGCAAAGCATCCACCAAGGTATCATCTGTATTCATTACCCTTGTGACTGTTCAGAGATGAACGTGACCCCTTCATGAGAAACCCGACGGTTTTGTGCCTAGGTCCTTCCATACCCCCTGCCCAATCTGCTTTATCAAGCATTCAGATTTCCATCTAGAAATACAAATGACACTTCGCCATCGATGCTTTCGGAGATTACACACTAAACACCAACCAGCACAGCACCACTGAAACCAAAGACGTGCTCTGCCTCATCTTAACATGCAGGAGGAGTGCTCTTAAACCAAATAACCTTTTGACTGCTTGTTTAAATCTGCAGCGATTCTAGAAACCTGTAGTTCTATGCTCTTGCGTTTTTTAGTGCTGCTTTTCGGATGAACGTCATCAGCTTCCTCATGAACACTGTTGCACTCTTCCTTTCCGTATCACATTTCTCCTGAGAAGTTAATGAAGAAAATGATTTCATTTAGTATTTAACCATGATCTGGAGCTTTTGCAGCTTGAAATGCTTTTATAAATTATATGGTTCTCTTTAAACCTTAAATATGCTGATCATGCATGGGAGTCCTTATTTTAGAGGTGGACTAGAACAAGGGAAGGGGACAAGAAGCAAGTTCCTACCTCTCTTCCCAGGCTTGGTGTGAGCGACTGCTTCAGTCTTTCAAACTTCTGGAAAAACCCACTGAACTTCTTCATGGCTGGATCAGTTTTGAGCTGTTCTGCTCCTTCAAAGATGGTGCTGATGCAGTTCACATCCTGAGATGGAAGAAACAGCAAAGCTGAGATACAAGGGTTTGTAACCATCGACCACAGTAAGTATTGGAAATCATCACGAGTTTCATGCAGCTGCCTGGTGGCAAATAAATTGTTACTGACTTTTGGACTCGTATTTGCAAACGACTGGGGCAAACAGGCTTGCTGATGTGCACATGTATTTACTCTGCAGACAGACACGTGGCAAATGATAGTTCTGTGAGGGTAATGCCCACATGAACCGTGTAATTATCTAAAGACTTTGTCCTAGCTCCTCTGCAGCCATCTGAGGACCAGTCTGATTTCTCACATCTGCTCGTGTCAGCAGATTATTGTGGTTTATGTGCCCAGTTTGGATGCAAGATGCTTTCTGCCCCAGGAGCTGGAGCTGTCTGAACAGGAGAGAAAGAAAACAACTGAACCTGAAGCTACTCCAGGCATCAGCCTCTGCAACAACTGCATGCTGGAAGAGATGGGGACAATGGCCACACTCTCATGTCACAGCCCTGTTTGCCTTGTCCCATCCCAAGCATGACCATGCCCTGGGAATCCTGGTCTTCTTCCCTAAAGTGGTAGCTGGCATTTGTCTCTGAGACCTCAGGGTCTGGGCAAGGTGACAAAAAGGGCTTGAGGGATACAGAAGGAAAGAGTGATGATGGTCACACTTGACAGCGTGGGGTTGCTTTGGAAGAGATCGGTTAAACTCATGACGAAGGCAAAAAGGAGGGGACACAGCCATCAGTGGCAGGAGCAGAAGGAGGTGTAATGGGAGAACAAAGTGATGAAAGATGAGGAAGATGAAAGGGAGAAAACACAGACAGCATCGTGCATTGGTCGAGAACATCATGGCATGATGCTGTCTGCATATGCATTTAAAGTCATTGCTCTTAAATACAAAGTATTTTAGGTATAATACAGAGGCAGCGATTTTAAAGCTCTCTCCATTTCCAATGACTAAATTTATGGAAAAAGTCAATTT